TTGGCTGAAAATTCACCATGGCAGAAAGGACCAAAGTTCCTGAGCCTACCAGCTGAGAATTGGCCGATTAAGTCTGCAAAGGATGTATCAGCAGCTGCCAGAGAGAGTGTTGAAAGGATGCAGAAGAAAGTATTTGCTGCGGCTCTCACAAGAGTTCAGGTGAAGAGGGAGCCACCAGATCTGGAGCATCGAAGACCACCTGCTGGTGCTGCTGTCCGAAATCTGGTGGATGAAGGACGGTTTAGCAATCTGACTCGCCTGGTTAAGACGATCGCCTGGGTCTGGAGGGCGGCAAAATGTTTTGCAGCTAAAAATAAGATCCTGGGAGATCCAAAGTGGGAGGCGGTTTCCTCAGCTAGGGTCATCACCACAACGGAGCGCCAAGATGCTTTAAGAGATCTTTTCCTTGCCACACAAGAGGGGGTGACCTTTCCAGCAACCACAATAGATCGGCTGGTAGTCTTCAAAGAGGAAGAAACCGGGTTACTAGTTTGTGGTGGACGAATCCAAGCCTTTAATGAAGACCGAGTTGGTGTCCCTCTCTTACCTTACAGCGCCTGGGTCTCAACATTGCTGGTTCAGGAAGCTCACAGCAAGGGTCACGAGGGTGTGGCTGCAACTCTGTTGAAGGTGAGGAAAAGAGCATGGGTCATCAAGGGACAAAGAATTGCTCGAAAAGTTATTGAGAAATGTATGGTCTGCAAGAAAGCCAGAGTGAAAAGATGTCAGCAGGTGATGGGAGATCTGCCTCAAGAGAGAACCAGGCCAGCATCTCCATTTGAGTTTACAGCAGTTGACCTGTTTGGACCCTATCAGGTCAAAGATGATGTGAGGAAAAGAGCAAAATGAAAGTCTGGGGAGTCGTATTCTGCTGTATGGCCAGCAGAGCAATCCACACGGAGCTTGCCAACACAATGTCAACGGAAAGCTTCCTGATGGCTTATCAGAGGTTCACGGCAATTAGAGGGCACCCTAAGAAAATATGGTCTGATCCTGGGACTAATTTTGTTGGTGCCAAGTCTGTTCTGAAGGAGTTGTATCAGTTCCTGGACAGCCTGGATAAGTCTGCTGTAGAGGATACTTCAGCTCAAAATGGAACTGACTGGCACTGGACAATCCTGCCAGCTGACTCACCTCACCGGAATGGCTCTGCTGAAGCATCTGTTCGGATGGTGAAGAAGGCGTTTCAAAGTCTGGGAAAAGAGTCAGGGCTCTGTTTCAGCGAGTTTCAGACGACGCTTCAGCTTGCCGCCAATCTGGCAAATGAGCGGCCCATTGATGCCAGGGTGCAGAGCCTTGAAGATACAGTGCAGTACATCACACCCAATACACTCCTGCTGGGACGAGCATCTGCAAATGGTGATTGGAAAACATTTGACTTCACAAGTTATCCCTATAAGAGGCTCCAGGAAATGCAGCATCAGGTCAACAAATTCTGGAGATCCTGGAGCCAACTTGCTGGTCCCAATCTTTTTGTGAGGAGCAAGTGGCACACTGCACAGAGGAATGTCGCAACAGGAGATATTGTGTGGATCTGTGATCAGAATGCATTGAGGGGCCACTTTAAGCTTGGAAGAGTCATCAGTGTCAACCCTGACTCCAGAAACATTGTGCGGGATGTGAATATTAGAGTTGTGGTGAGCTCCTGTATCCCGGAGGTGAGGCCTGAAACATCAGCATCCAAATTCCCTGCATCCAAGCATCGCGTCTCCAGTATTCGGGGGGACCTTCAGTCCACAATTCTTCACCGGGACGTTCGACGGTTGGTGGTCCTACTACCAGTGGAGGAGCAGGATGGGAGTCCAGGAGAAAATCTCTAACTACTAGTTCACTGTGTGCGATCTCTCCAGCGGTTTCCGTGGGAAGATCGAGTGGGAGGTGTCAAGCTGAGCTGCAGACCACGCCCTTTTTTCCCTGGTTGTGGTGCCTAGCTGCAGTCAGCTAGTTAGTCACCAGGTGGGAAGGATCTGGTAATTAGGAGATTTGGAGTCATTCACAGGATAGAAAGCAGGCTGGGAAGATGTGTTGAGGAACTGGGAAAAAATGAGACTGCAGGACTAAAGCTTGTCTGAACGAGGAAGGAGTCGGTGAGCGTTTGTTTGTTTGTGAAATGTGGTGGATTTTAATATTAAAGTGAATCATGTAATTATATTTAGGGAAAAAATGTTTGTATAAAACCATGTGTTTGAATTGTAAACTAAAGTGTTGTACATTTAACATCATGGAGATTTGAAGCATGGTTAAAAGTAATGTATTGTAAAGTTTAAAAGGGAAAAACTGTAAGTGTAGGATTGTGTTTGTAGAGGGTTAAAGTTGTTAGGATTTAAAGTTAAATTATGTGAGCAGTGATTTAAAATAAGTATTTTGATGTTGGATGGTGATGTTTATTATGGTTACCTGAGTTTATTATGTGTTTCATTGATTTACTTGTGTTTGTATTTAAGGTTTTTTACCTGCTTATGGCTACGACAACTTTCAAATAAAAGAAGGAAAAGAAAGAATTGATTCCTGGTCATTGAGTAAAATCCAGTCCAAACCTTCAGAGGCAAGCATACCCTATCAAGTGGGGGAAACTGCAGGGTTGAACTTCACTAAAGTGAATGCACTTGACAGTATTCGTAATATTGATGTTTTTGTCTAACGTTGTATTTAAGGATTTAAACAATAAAGATAACAATAATAATAAAGTTTACAGTACAGTACAGTTTAATGTATTTGTCTCATGTATTGTGTGCTCGTCGGCCGGCGGCAATCTGCAATGGAATGAAGCCCATTCACGGCCATAGTTACATAGTTACACGAACATGTCCCCCCACCCCCACCCCGGAATAACTACACATAAGCACTCGCTTTGTGTGGCGCGTCTCTTATGGGAGTTGTAGTTTTAAAGTATATTGGTATATTTCTCACAATTATAAGTTAAAAGTGTAAAATTTTGGATACACCCTGTGTTTTTTGGGGAACACACTGGTGTTATCAGATTTCAAAAAATTAATCGTTAAATAGGTGAGATAGCTAATTTCCATATTTGACAGTGCCTATACAGTGGGTAAACTTTGGTGACCATATCTACATGACAGCAGAGGCCCAGAGCTTTATATATAAATGCTGGTCTGTGTTTAGCACCTTCTGTTGCTAAATTACAAACCAAGATGGACTGGGTTCAAAGTTCAGAGGTCAATGCTCTCTGCAATGCTCTTCTGGCTGTACTTCCATCTTGTGCAACTAAACATCTACAAATGATCTGGAGTGCTGCAGCTCGTCTTGTCTTCAACGAGCCCAAAAGGGCCCACGTCACTCCTCTGTTCATCTCTCTGCACTGGCTGCCACTCTCTGCTCGCATCAAGTTCAAGGCCTTGACACTTGCTTACAGATCGACCACTGGCTCAGCTCCCTTCTACTTTCACTCGCTTCTACGAGTCTACACCCCCACCAGAAGCCTACGATCGATCAATGAGCGACGGCTTGTGGTACCATCACAAAGAGCCACAAAATCACTCTCTAGAACATTCTCATTCACAGTTCCATGCTGGTGGAATGATCTGCCCACCCTCATCCGGAATGCAGAATCCCTGACAGCATTCAAAAGACAACTGAAAACTCATCTCTTCCGAAAGCACTTAACATAAAAAAATAAAATAAAAATAAAAATCCTTTAAATCCTCACTTGCCTAGTTTATGCTACTCTGAGCAATGTTTGAACTTTGTATTTTGAGCACTTCTTGTGTTGTTATTGCCTCCTCACGATAACTTGTTTGGTTTAGACCTCAGATGTAAGTCGCTTTGGATAAAAGTGTCTGCTAAATGACTAAATGTAAAATGTAAATGTAAAATGTATGGAGAATAAAGATGGATCAGACCACATTCTTTATGCTTGCCTGGAGAGACTGGTTTCTATTCTTCTCCACAACCTTCATAACAGTCATATTAAAATGCTCTGTAATGCAGCCTTGTATAACATTAAACCCTCTGATTCACTGTGAGTGTTTGCTCTAAATGATAACACCCACTTTCAACACGGGCCTTCCAGCCAAAGGTATTGTCCATATACACCCCAAGGTGCCTGTAGGAGCAGAGCTGATGGATTGGTTCATCATTTATGACTTCTAATACCTTCTGACCCATGTCAAGACCCTTTCATCAACTTGTGAAATGGTTGAATGAGATATGCGAGTTGTGTCTGTATGCTGTAAGCCGAGGAAGAAGTGTGCCAAAAATGCCAAAACACATGTTGTATACTGTATGTACACTAACCCTAACCCATAAATTGAAATTTCAAAAAAGTCATTCATTTAAATTTTAAAACTACTAATAATGCAGTGTGATTTTAAATCAAAGTCCCACCCATAAATATGCTCTCATGTTTTTTCCCCTTTAGTCTCTGCTATTAACATTTATCAACCACAAAATTTTAAAACCAACCACAAAATTGCTTTTTTAAATAACTATGCATGGAAAATAAAAATAAAAAATGCTTCTCTTTTTATAGTTTTATTTTTTTGTTTTTCACAACAGTACAACAAATCCAAATTAATCAAACAAGCCATTAGGCTGTATTTTTAAACACTCAACTGTATATATACATATATATAGTATATAAGGCAAATCAAAGTGCTTAGGTCAGGAAATGTAGTTATTAAAGCAAGTCTTGAAGTAATTCAACGACACTTCCCAATTAAACATCCAAATTCAGAAAAATTGGTTTGTGTGTGTATATAATAATTACTATAGTGTCTATAATTAAGTCACATTTTCAAGTTTTGGGCCAGTTTTTGCATTTGTTGAACCTCTATGTACCTTCACTGCACATGAGAAGCAGCTGAATAAGTCCTGTCAAGGATGCTTTCAGAGACCATCTGTAGCAGGTGAGTTGATGCAAGAGTCCAAATTCAGAAGAAAATGGGGTTGTGTGTCCATGTAAAACTGTCAGAAAACTCAGATTTGCCACAGCAGATGACATCAGTGGAATTATTTTTATTATTATTAGTAAATACACATATTTACACCTTCCTGTAAACTTTTCTGCACATAGTTTTGTTCTACCATAAACAGAAGACGACTATTCAAAAAACAGTTTCTTAAATTAATTTCAGTTTGTATAACTACATTCATTATTATTGTTGTAATGTAACATGTAGATATGATAATTACTATTATTCAAGCATATCTGACTTACAAACAGTGTTTCCTCTTTGTTGATTTGACTGTGGTGGCCCCCCACACCAACATTTCGAGATGGTTCTCACTGCGGAACATGAAATCCATGGGGAGGAGTCGGATCCAGATCCAACTCCTCCCACCTTACATACACCTAAACCTACCCAACTCCGCCCCCTGATCCCTAAACCCCACCCCTAATCCCTAAACCCAACCCTAATCCTACCCATCTCCACCCCTTGGATCTTGATCCGACTCCTCCCCGTGGATCTCATGTACTGCATTGAGGTGTAACTGAACATTTCTGCCCCCCCACGGTATCAGAAATAGGGTGACGGCAGCTTTAACTGGTGATTTTTTTGGACCTGCCCCCACTACTAAAAACAAACAAACAAAGGAAACACTGACAAATATAAGAAATCGAACCAAATGTGAATAACTGGTCATTTATCACTTCGAGAGCTCCTCAAACTGACAGTCCTCAATCTGACAGTTCAGAATCACTGTCGTATCCATCCCAATCATTCTGGAAGTCCATACTTGTTCCAGTCAAAACTTGAGCATAGCAGTCTCTTGCATGCTTCATCATTCTGGTGACTTCTTGCTTCTTTCTCAAAGTTAAGCTGAGGAAACCCTTGAACCCTTCTTCATTTAGAGCCCACAGCTCACCTTATGGGAGTAAAACAAAAAATTATCAGAAAAAAAATTACAATGTAGAGTATAGTATTAGTATATATATAGTAGTAACACATTACTTAAATACGTACTTTGCAATGCCTCACTGGAAAGCTGGGATGACATCTCCTTGAGTGTGTCTGCACGAGTGGAGAGAGATTTCCAATGCTTTGCCATCTCAGAAAGAACAATCTTCTTCTCCTCCTCAAGTCTCCTTATTGCTATCACAACATCAAACGCCTTCCTCTTGATTTTCAAATCTACAGCGTCTGGGATACAGTTGTGGAAAATAAGTAAATTGTAAGTATGATTATTTTTCAAATAATATTTGAGATAATCTGGGATAAGGCATAATTGGTTTTGTGCTACTATGTGAATCAAACAAAACTGTCAACAGATTTGTGTACATACCACCATGTGAAAGTTGCCATGGCCAAACTGTCTCGTCAGAGAGAATGATGTCAAAGACGATTCTTTCTGTATCTGGAACCATACTGTTGTATTTTTCAACGACAGAGCTAAGAATGGCCTTCTCCTCTCTGATTTTGCGCTGAATCCGGGCCCGACCTCAGTGTAAGCATGTCTATACGTCCTGTAAAAAAGAAAAAAAAAATACACTGTGTTGTACCACATGTCCCTCACTGGCTACAATTTTCTTGTAACACTTTCAATCTAAGTAGTGCAGTGTGTGGTTACCTTACCTGCTTTGGACATGTGCTTTGTGGTCACAGCAATCCTAGAGAGGAAGGCGTTACACTGCTCAACCTCCTCCCCAAGTGTCAATCCGGCCCCTTGCTGGTAAGCTCCACTCCATTTAACCTATTGAAGAAAATACTTAAAAGCTGCCAACATACCTTTGCAGGTGTTTAGGGACGGTTAATGACATGGTAATGTTTTCTTACCTCGCATTTAAAATCATGGGCTTTGGCATGAAACACTGAGAGGAATGGTTTCATGCTCAGAAGGTGCCGGAGCTCCGGGCAGCTTTTTGTCACTTTGTGGAGGTAGGGCCAGTACTTGCAGGTTACATCCATGGCAAAAAAGCTTATTGACTTATTTGCCAGCTTGTTCTGCAGGTAGAGGGGATAAGCATATATTTCTCCCCTGAACATGTTGAGAGCGCCGAGAAAAACTCCATGTCGACAGACCGCAAGCTCAAGTCCCTCCTCATCAATTTTACTAGAGGATCTCTGAGAAGTTTCCCTGGCAGCTGACCACTCCCCTCCACAGACACCTCTTCCAGAGACCTACAACATGGAAAAAGGTTGATATAAATAGTCAGGACTCACCCAAACAATGTCAACTGTAAAATGTTATTGGTCGTGTTTTTAGAAATATTATACAACAAGTTTACATGGTTGGTGTTGGAATGAATGTAATCCACAAATCTTTCTACTTCATCATCTTTTGCAATGAAGATGCCATCAAATAAGGCTTGTTCTTCAGATCTAATTGAAAGAAAGGTACACATTGACCTTCAATATGACACAGCAAAGGTTACTTTAACAACACTGCAAATTACACACATTTTGTAAGTACCTTGCTGTGTTCTTAAAGCGGTAGTGCTTGCGATTTCCATCCACAGAAACAGCAAGCATGTCTGGGGTGCATGCAGGACAGATAAAATGTTCCTCCCTGCAGATCTTATCCACTTCAAATCTAACAGCCTCCCACTCCAAAAAGCTTTTTCTGAAGCTGTCTGCTGTGATCTTCCCAGTCTGTTTCAGAACAGTAAAACATGTCAACATAATTCACAGTTAAGTTAACTAAAGTTAATAAGGTCAAAGGTGACACCAAATTCTCCTGCATCGAGCCTCCACGGGCAGTCGCTCAGCCCAGTGGATCTTTGGAAATCTTTTGGCTCTTTGTATGTCACGGACAAAAAACATCACGACCAAAGTCCCCCCCAAAAAGACCACAGCAAACTCGACTCCCACAGCAAACTTAACCAATGTCTATATTTGTTTTTTTTCTGAATTCAAACTGCATGACTAGGATGTGACATCACTACTTGATCTTATACACAGGTCTAATGTTTTGAGTGATTGAGTTGATAAATTGCTCCAATATTTTTGTACATTTAGTGTATGAATTTAGATTCTTTACTGAGTGGTAGTTTTTACACAAAGACTTTGAATCTTAGATGATGTTCTATTAATGTATCGAGTCCAGCTGAATCACTGTTTTGATTTCATCAACATGCTCCAATTATAATAATCAATGTGTTGATAATGTCACCATAGTCATTCTGCGATACACATCAATACTAGTACTAGTTGTTAGTGATTCCCACCACTCATACTCACACGGCCAAAGCGGACAGTTCGTTGATCAAGCATTCTTAAGAATGCTTGGCAGGACAGTCATGGTGCTGCCATCTTCAATTCTTCATAAGAACAAAAAACATCTGTAGCGTACACCGTGGAAAAGTGAAGGGTAGCAGGCCAGTAGTCATTACGGACTAAGTCATCCACTCCAGCGCTCCATGTGGCTTTGCATGCCTCACATTTCATCTCAGGCATACTGAGATCATATCGTCCTGGAAAAATCAGGAAAAGTAGCTTACATTACTATCACCTATGTAGTACATTCAGAACTAATAAAACTTAAAATCAGACATCTGGCAGTCTCTCATTTGTCAAGTGCCTCTTTTGTGAGACAGAACGCAAAACTGAACATCCCTCCTGCCTATCCTGGGTCTTTCACAGGCGGGAGATGCACATAAGGTTATAGATGCGGGCGGGAGCGGGACTAAAACACATTATTGCGGAACGGGATAGAATATTGTGGGAACGGGGGGGTGCAGGACTGAAAATCCTGCCCAGCGCAGACCACTATAGGGAACGTTTGAATAGAAATAGGACACATTTACAAAGCCAATAGCACTGCCTTGTTTTTTTTTCTATTCAAATAGGACAATGAAAAGTGGCAGGAAGCGAGTAGGAGAGCCCTATGGGGTGGAATCAGGTTAAAGTCCAACCCAGGTCCCTATGGACGCTAAAGCCACTTGATCTGGAATGTTCCCTTAAGTTCATTTTATTCTTACCATTCATTGTAACCACAGCAACAACTTTTCCTGTGTTGACACTCAACGATCCCGGAGAACAACTACATATTTTTTTGGGAATCTCCAACGGCACAATACACACTGAAAGACACATCATATGCAGGGATTAAAGACATGCATCATCCTATGTACTAACTGGGAAGTATTCTGCAATCATTTTCTTTTTCTTTTTTATCAATGATTTGAAAAGCTTTAAAGATAAAGGTCATTAAGTGTGTTTCAGAGAAAGTACTCAAAACATTCCTGTGAAGCCTATTATACTGTAAAGTTATTTAAATAAACTGAGAATGGGACTAGTGCTGCACAATATATAATTGCACTTTTTCTGACAGATAAAGCGATTACCATTTCCAATTCAATTTTTGAATGTGTATGATTTGATTCAGTTCAATATTCCAAATGTCTCTTTAATTTGTGCCACCCCTGATAAGTAAGCACAGCCAGTGTACAAGACTAACACCCACTGACCGACTGAAGTTCACCAATCAGAATTTTTGTCCCCTTCACACACTACGCACACCCACCAACCAGAAGTTGCACAGTCAAGGAGGATGACGTGAATATAAAAGTCAAATGTCACAAATGATATTTGAAGATTTTACCATTAGGCAGTTGCCTTGGATCATATTGCAATTACGATTGCAATAATTGTGCAGCCCTAAATAAGACACTCAAAGAAATAGAGCTTACCACACTGGGAAAGAGCCCTCTCCACGACACAGGTTGTTGGAGGCAATGGCTGAAAGAATCCAGCTATTGTTGCATCCCTGTTGTGGAAAACATGGTTTCGGTGTATACTGACATCACAATCAGCACAAAAGAATGGTTGTGGTCGGCAGTCACGACAACGGACAGCAGCTGCACTGCTGCCACATTGTTGGCAGATCTGAGTGTTCACATTTTGTTGTGCCACCATGGTATTCACCAGACAGGGTCTCTCTTTCTCCCACCTCTCTGAGAGGAGACTCTTTCTAGTAGACCAGTCTGAGGAAGCTCGTGGTGGTGCTGGTGCCGTTTCCTGATCATCCAAGTCATCACCCTGTGAGTGGTTTAGCTCTTCAAGGAAAGTCTCTGTTAAAATAGTACATCATATTCAAAAACAATTTTCTACACTATCAAAGTGTGCAACATGTTGTCGGTTATTCTGTCGCAAAAACATGTAATTTACATTGTAATTATTAGAATCTATAAACATAATGAACTAACAGACACAAAATAAAGAACATACCAACAGTGTCAGGGGGACAGTAGTTGGTTATCTCAAAGCTGTCGTCCAACATCCTAGTATGAGAACTAGACTTACGACTGTAGCTGTGACTAGCTGTAGCAGAAAATAAAACCCAAATCAACCTTTACAGCATTACAATTCCATAGATTTTGACAAGCTCATTTTATTCCACACAATGATACATACTTTTATTGGCCCAATTTCATTGTCTATACCACTTTGGATGATCATGAGTATGTAATAAAAACCTCATATCTCATACCAGACACATGACTGATTCATGTATTCAATCCCAAGTGGTAAAACAATCTATATCTCCGTTTTAGATCTATGTGAAAAATCACAGGAGTACTCCTTTAAGTAATATGACCAGAAAACTGACCCGTTTGGTTTCAGGAGGATCTCGGTCTGTCATAGACAACATTTCCATCACTCTCTTCAGCCACCTGACTGGTTGATGGCTGGTGGATGGTGCTGCCTCCTGGACTGGTTGATGGCTGGTGGATGGTGCTGCCTCCTGTTCTCCCTGCATCTTATTGATGAAATCATCCATGATCTGGAGTTCATAATTTAATTTAGAATGTTCAACAAGCTCATCAAGCTTATTAAGGACCTGTTTGAAATTGGAATCGTCACTCATGGTGAACAAGGACAAACAAGACAACACTAAAGGGATAGGGGGGAAGAGCAAAAGAGCAAGAACAACAGAGAACCAGACAGACTAACAACAATTAACTAGACAAAAGTGGCTCTTAAAAGTGCCTTTGTTTTTGCTTTGTAACGAAGCTGAGGTTTTGAAGTAAATGATGAAGGGACTAGGGAACCTGTTGAGAGAAGGGAAAGATAATAAATTCAGATTTGAAGATCATGCTACATACAACTACATAAATACTAAATAACTGAAAGGTTTAAGAACTTGAGAAAATGTTGGTCTAGTTTGCCCATGCTTTGGGCTGTGGTGGGGAGGTCTGTGGGTGCGTATAGTAATATTAGGCCAGAATACTGTAGGGCTGGTTGTTGCCTGCAAACTCACAATACAATAACTCAGTAGTTATGGACTGATCTTGACACTCATGTCTGATATTGATACCAACTATTCAAAATGTCAGCTTGGCTGATAATCAGTGCCATTTGTAATATTTTTATGTTATTAATTATACTTGTATTAACAAGGAAACACATTTCTTTAAGTTTTTCCCTGTGATCATTTTAATCAAAAAGTTCCCTCAGCAGTCATAGTAGTTTTAAACACTAGACTGACTGATTTAACACTGATTTAATTTGTTAATGTGGTTTTTTATTTTCATGTCTATGCTTTCATAGCATAGACACATTTATAAGTTACACTGACTAGCATGTGTATAAATGGGCTCAAAACACTGGGCAAAGAGCAACGACACACAACCACAAGAAGAATCCCAACGCAGACATGCATTACAGCTAACACGGTATGTCTCAGTGTGAAAATCATAATATGCGACAAAAATGAACTTGAATTCAATTAACTTAGCTAACTTTGCTAGCTTGCACATTTGGTGCAGTTCAAGCTATATTTTTAATAATGTCTTCTATCATTTCTCGTCATAAGAAAGGGCCACCTTACAAATCTAAAGTTTCTAAACACAATTTCTTGTCCTGATCCAACCGTTTTTGATGTGTAAATGTAAGAAGAGTATCCATCTCTATTAATGAACCCTTCTACTTACCGAGTGGAAAATCGCAATGGACCTTGGGATCGCCCATACGGTGACGTCAGCGTTATTAATTTAGAGGATTTAGTAAAAATAATAATTTTTAAAAAATGATTAATTGAACACAATCGTAGCATTAAAAATCAACAAACCTCCGATACAAATACGTTATCCAGCATGCTCTAGTGTTTACCTATGATAAGAAAATGCTTTAAAACTGCATACTTGCACGCGAATTGGAGCGTTAAACTCACCTTTTAATTACGTTTTACCTGCAGTTGTGCGTTGCTTTGGTCAAACTCACCTCTGAATGCCGTTTTACCTGCAGTAGAGTGTTGTTAAACTCACCGCTGAATGTGGTTGCACACCATGTGCGTTGTTAAACCCACCGCTGATGAACGCGCTAAACTTTTGAGGGCCCTTTGATATCAGATTGCGAGGGTTTTTAAACATCAAACACCAGTTGGAGGGCATTTGAATCGCCCTGGTATAGATAATTTTTGGTAGCGTATTCCTTTTTATTTTTATTTATTGTTGTCTCGACCCACAAGGCAGACAACGGGTTGCGGTGTGGTGATCGACCCAAGACGTCAAATTTCAACGCTGTTGAGTTCTATAGAAGTCTATTGGACTGCCCCGCACGTTGAAAAATGAAGCCGAAGGTATACCCAGTGCGTCAAAAAAGTGACGCCAGGGTCCCTTGACCATGCGTCAGACATTTGACGAGTAGGGAGTGAGACTGTGTTGCGATGACAGATTGATCATACAAGTGGTCATGTTCATGGCTAATATTCATATTCATACACGCCATAAAAACACATCAAATCAACGCACTGTTATAGGTTACGCCTGGTCATTTAGGCATTCACACTGTTGGCGATTTTCTGTCTTCCTGTCTGTGTCAGCTGCAGCTGTGCTACTTAAACTATGTCGGACATGTGTATTTATCTAGGATTACAGTTTCCTCTTGGTTTGTAAAATATGAAGGTCTGAAGACTTTTTCATTGGTTATCTGCTGCTAACACCTCCTCTTTTATGTGAACATGGTCACGGCTAGATTGGGAAACACTGGGTTGACTTACTGAATTGATAACCAGCTACGTGTGCCCGCTTATCCTGATTCTGATAGTTAGGGTTAATGAAGCCAGATAATGAAAAGATATCCTGGGTATATTGAACTCGCTTCATGGTACAGGCCCCAGGGCTGCGTTCAGGCACAACAGTACCTGAAAGACCGTGCTGTGTATACAAGTGCACTGCACATCACTGCCTTTTTAATACAGCTGTGTTTATATACACGTTGCTGCAGATTGAGAAACACTTCTGACACACCCACCTAATGAGACAAAAAGATATCTCAAAGCCTGTCGTACACCATTTTGAGGAAACATGTTGTTCAACTCAAACACTGTAGCAAACCGGTGCAAAAACGTTTTCATATTAAATTTAACAGCAACAATATGATTGGCTGATAAAGGGTTGTTGCAAATCCTGGTTGGTTAACTGAAAATAGACACCCATATCAGCAGATTAAGAGAAACAAGAAGAGGGAGAGAGAGATGTGAATGAATATCATAAAGATAGGTCTTCCTGATTCAGCTTTCCCTGAGATTCATTTGAGGTGAAACTGAGTTATGTTCCATACTTGTATAGCGCCTTTCTAGTCTTTCCAACCACTCAAATCACTTTTACACTACATCTACCATTCACACACTGAGCCTAAGTGCTCAAACAGAAACTAACATTCAAACACTGGCGGAACAGCCGCCAGGGGCAATTCGGGGTTCAGTATCTTGCCCAAGGACACTTCGACATGTAGCTCGAACCGCCGACCTGCTCTACCTCCTGAGCCACAGCCGGCCCATATGTGAATCCATCTTTAATAAACATCTTGATGAGTTTTGATGTATCTGATGTACATGTTTTTAATTTGGTTTGAACCTTTTTTGGTAACTTAATATGAAATAACTGTAAGAATAACTTTGAACACTCAACTGAGGTCAGTTGACCAACTGGATAACATGATAAGAGAGCCCGTCTCTTAAGTTGACAGCACCCTTCCTGGAGCACGGTTTAACTACAGACACTGCGGAGCTGCAATCATTCGCACTATGATGAACTTCATCTTGACAACAGCTTTAATTATCTGCAGCATCAGTAAGTACTGCCAACACATTTCTCTCTACTTTGTTGCTTCTAGAATTAAAACTTATTTTCTTGTGTATAATTTATTAAGAGGTGTTGTTTACCTTCCTATAACACGCACATCTCTTGTTGTCTCTGCTGTTTGTTTCAGGCTGGATCTCTGTCTCAGTTTCTGAGTCTCAGACTGTGAAGGTCCAGCCTGGTCAAGAAGTCACACTGTCGACTACCAACATTTCCAGAAATCAAGCCATGACAACCTGGTTCAGAGTGGTCAACAGAACCAAGGCCAGCTGTATCTCCGTTATGGCCGCCTCTGGCAGCAATCCTAAATACTGTGATGGATTTAAAAATGGAATATTTGAAATGAGCTCCAACACCTCCACTGTCTTTCTCAAAATTAAGACAGTGAATCTTTCTGATTCTGGGCTGTATTTGTGTGGATTTTTCATAGAGGGACAGACAATTTTAAGTGTGATACATTTAAATGTTTAAGGTAAGATTATGAAATCCTGTGATATCTGTTCTTCTGTGTTATTTTTTTATTTTGTAAAATTAATAACTGACCTAAAACACATATATGGCTACTTAATTAATGTCAAAACAAACATAATAAAACCATTTAAAAGTAAAATCTAGATTAAATATATCTTCATTTTGTTAAAAGGCAGTGATGAATCTCATGATGACGTTGACAGAAAGTCTACAAGTAAGATCCTCTTTAAGATTTCTTTGTGCAGATTCACTTCTAGTCATTTTTAAGTTAAAAACAGTACGGCTAACTTAACATTTGTCAGTTTAATGTTAGCAATTCTCAAGCCACTAAAGAGAAAATAGAGTCTAACTATATGATCTTTCTTTTAGCAGAGAGTGATAGAATAGCAAACCTGATGAGTGTGATCCTGGGCGGCCTGACTGTTTTCCTCATAATGGTCATCATCTGTCTGGTTGTTAAAAACAGGAAACTTCAAAAAGGTACTGTTTGTATCTTGGGTTTGGTTTCTTGTTTTTTCACTTCTCTAAAATTGTGTGAATATGTTGAAAGAATACAAATGTTCATGTTGGTCACCTGATTACAAATATTGTCTCCATCATTCAGCTGCCAACAAAGAACAGAATCCACAACAGCATGAGGTAAATTAAGTTTGATTGTTTACTATTACATATTTAAAATTGTTAAAGGTGGTTGAATCATGCCAGGTTGGGATTTAGTTTTTCTCACAAACTCAGCTAGTTGACGTGTGGAACTGTGTGTCCTCTTTACAGAATCTGGACTCTGATGACCTGAAAGCACTGAGTTTGTATTCAACAACAATAAGAAACAGGAGGCCTGCATCAGAGAGAGAAGTGGAAACTCATGTTGTTTATGCTGCCAGCAGATAGAATAATGCTATTAATCATATTCATCAATTGCTGTTATGTTATGTGTGTGTGTGGGGGGGGGGGGGGGGACCATCTTCTTAAATGTACAAATAATCAAATTAATCAACGTGATCCTTTAGTCTCATGAATCTCTCACTCTCTGTCTTTCTAACTCTAGAGAGACTGTCCACAAAGACAATAGATAGATGGAGGTCTGCAGATGGAGGAGTGAGAGAGGCACGCATCATTTGTTTAACAGGAAGAGACAGCAGAGTGGTCTGAGCACAGCTGAGCTGAAAATCATGAGGTCACACATCTGAATCTGAATCAAGTCGGACATGAAGCAGTGAATACTGGCTGACTTTCCTCTGTCAAGTAGATGTAGTGGGGAAAGATTCCCCAGGTGCAGGTTAAGGTGTGGTGGTGTTGAATGCAGCCTTGACTTAACTCCTCCCCTGGCCAACCTCCTTATTAGGCTTAGGCTATATAAGACACCTGTGTTCCCTTTCTCTCTCTCTGCTTCTTGATCTGTCCCTGTTGTGGTTGTGGCCCAGCTATGTGAAAGGAATAGTTTCATGCATGTTTGTTTTCCCTTAACAGTTTATGTTGCTTACCTGCACTTTGACCTGTTAGGAACCTCCTTTTCTCCTGCCCTGTGAATGTTGATTGTTGTATCTTCACGACCCATCTCAGAGGTGGCGAGTAGATACATAGATGTGTTTTAATGCAGTAAGGCTGAGCCTGGCTAATTGTTTCCTTCAGTTTTCCAGGTTCCTCCTTGTTTTTGACCACTGCTGTTTCATCTCATTTAGTTTCCTGTTTGGCCCGTTAGTTAGTTTTGCTCCAGTTTAATAGTTAGTATAGTTTGCCCTTTTTCAGCCAACTGTGTTACTTGGTTGTTTTTTTGCTTTAATTTAAATAAAGTTAATTTGTTTCTTTTGTCTTTAGTTTATATTTTGAGCAGGGTGCCATTTTGTTGGGAGGCTAGGCACCTTTTGCGTGGGGGCTCTATATACAGACTGCACCATTTTTGCTGTGAATAATGCTTTGAGGTTTGTAGTGCTGCACCTAAGGTGGGTAGTGGTCGCACTCCTGGGCACTCCTCAGCGTAGTCTGCCTCTCCACAAGTGACCTCTACTTAGCTTTGGTTAGTTATTTTGGGGTGCTGGATTTATATTCTTTATTTGAACTTAGTAATTTTTAACTAACTATTGTAATAAAGTTGTCTTATCTAACATCTTATAATGTTTATTGCTGGTTCAGTTTTCCTTTCCGCAGTTCCAGTCCCTGATTGTTTTCTTGCTGATTAAAATTATATATTGGGATATTTTGAATCATGTCTCAGTAACGTTTTGTGCCTTTTTCTCTTTATTACCTTCAATTAATCAAGGGTTAAATAGTATTTCCTGGGGTGCAATTCCCTAGGTGGCGTTGTTGGCTTTCATTCAATCCCCCCCCCCCCCCCCCCTTCCTGGTCCGCTGTATTTGTACAGAAAGTAGATATTTAAACTGTGATGTCAATGTGTTACATTTCTGAATAAAAAGTGATTGGTAGTTGTATTTTTGATTATAAATATTTATGACACCTACATGCAGCTTGTTGCACTTTGCACTGTGGTGATAAACGGCACTGTTTATATCAGGGAGATCGGTTTCTTCACACCTAGCAGACTAACTTGCTCATCTTCAGTATTTAAGCCTCTCCCAAGATGCCTGAAGCAGAGTGAGGCCTCATCCACACTACTGTTTTTTTTTTTTTAAATTAAAACAAACTTCTTGCTACATTTGCACCTTCCATCCAGACTACAATGACTAAGACCTGAAACAGAAGTTTGGAAGGGCTGCCGACCCAGTTTTGTGTTTCAAAACTTCAGAGGGTGTTTTAGTGAAGACGGGCCAAAATGGAGGACTTTAGAAACGATGACGCAGACTCTCACGCTCGGCTCTAATTGGGTCTTACAAGTCATGCAAAGCAGTAACATGATGCTACTGACCGGGTTTTTGACATGGTATTTTTATGAAAATATTCTGTACCGTACAAATAAAACTTATCCGCCTATACTTGTACTGTGCATGACGCCGTTTACTTTGAAGACTCCCAGTCTGATTCCCGCCACCACACTCATGTTACATTCAGTAACAGTCCCAGCTCCTTATTGGCACATGCAAAAAAAACTGGTGTGATTCTTCATCTGTATATATTTTGCCAAATCTTCTGTAAGTACGGAATAGACCATCTGCTTCATGTTTACACTGGCACGCACGCATGCCCAGTGTAAAACACTAGTGTGGACGGAGATGGTCTTAATTTTAATTCTGTTTGTAAACTAAAACTGTAGTGTGGATGGGGCCTGATACTCATGAAGCCATTCACTCCACAGGCTGTACACTGTTCTTTTGGAACAGAAAAGCTCACCTGTGCATTCAAAGCAGGCTGCTTTATGTGAAAGACGGTGTGCTTTTCATGTGCCACAGCAGTGGAGGAATAACTGGTGAGTGAAGACATGCCAGATTTGATAGACCTTTCAAGGGTGGTGGATTTACAAACTGGTGCAAAGCCACCTAGAAATTCACTGAACATGAGAATTAAGTTATAATTCAAAGAGCAGCTGCTCCAGGGCTGCACAAACAGGTGCTCTAAGGAAGGATTTTCTTTGGCCTTCTGTTAGTGAAGCCTTGTAAGGGCCCTGTGAGGCAGTGGCAAAATTTACAAAGGTCAAAGTGTGCTTGGTGACCTTTATTGTATAAATGTGCTTAAAGGACTACATTTATTCATTTAGCTGACGCTTTTACCCAAAGCAACTTACAATTGCTGTACATGTCAGAGGTCACACACCTCTGGAACAACTAAGTGTCTTGCTCAGGGACACAATGGTGGATAGGTCACAGTGATTGAACCCGGGTCTGTCACACCAAAGGCAGGTGTCTTATCCATTGCCCCCCCTTAACAGCAGTGACAGATGACAGCGTTGTGGACGAGATAACTACAAAGTGATGACATGTCCTAGCAAAATCTGACTTAAACTGTTGACAGACACTGTGTTCCAGGAGAGCAGGACCCTGGTATCAGCACACCAAAGGGACCAAAGCAGTGGCAGCTGAAATGAACAATTTGTGTCGTGAGACATGAGTTTATGAGGCTGTGGATTTGGTCCCTCAGAACTGGAGAGGAGATTTGACCAGGACAGCATGCAGATAACAGCAAGAAGAGAGACCATGATGATTGATGCAGCAAAGGGGCACAAAGTGGAACTGGACCTACATCATCATCATGATCGTCTTCATCTTCATCTTTCCAAGCAGCTGGATGTAGTCCGTCTGCAGCTCCAACTCAGGATGTTGGGAGACATTACCAAGGATTCTTCATGCAGCTCAGTCCCAGAAGTGGTCTTACATCTCACCAAACTACACCAACAACCCAGAGGTTTGTTCAGAGAAGTAGAAAAGCTCATAAAGCCTCTGTCTTCCCCCATCAGTGGCATCATGAGAGAGATGACATTTGAGAGCCCTTTATGCACACTTTCTGTAAGTCCACATCTCTGCAGACTTTGTCCAAGGGAATTACCCACAGTTCATAGCGTTGTGACATTGTGACAGCTGATAGCGAGCAGAGAGGAAAACAGGGCCGAGTTCAGCACAGACAAAATGTAGCAAAATGTTTGTTTTAACAGAAACGGTGGTGCCTTGAACACCCTGTTGTGTAGGCAAGCGCACTGTAGTTTACTGCTTTTTTAATATGTTTAAAACGTTAAAACATTTTGAGATTGAACTCGAGCCATATTTAAGTTTGACAGCTGTAGAGCCGAACCACCTATATGCTCACTACGCACGTTGTGAAGGGCCCCGCATATTAAACAGGCCCCCACCTCACTCTCATATAAGGAGAAAAAGAGTGTCCATGTTTTTAACTTTGTTGAGAGGATGAAGAGAGACTATCCTTCTGAGCATGAGAAGAGAAAAAAAACTCAGTGAGAGTGAACTGTAGGAACAGCAGTCAGGTAAACATGTTCTCTCCTCTCAAAGTCTGATGTCAGCAGATAACAGTAATATTAGGTTGATGTGCGGATGCAGCGCATCTCTCCTCACACAGATAACAGAAACAAAAATGGTTTATTTAACTCAAACTAACAAACAACTAAGTTGATGGAGTGGATAGATATGAGGAACATCAGTCATGTCAGATGTCAGAAGTGTGTGGTTGAGTGAGAATGAAGTGTAATGTGTGTGGGTGCAGCAAATAAAAAAAAGGAACAAAGGAGTTGAAGCAGCAGGCCAGCAGAGAGAGAGCGACTCCCAAAAAGGCAGCCCTTTTATGCCTTCTAGGAAGCCTGACCCAGATGGGCAGGTACAAGCACTGGACCCTCCCAGCTCCTCCTACACAGACAAGGAAACACAGGCAGACTGGAGGAAGTTGTCACAGCTGTCTGTCTTGCTAAACCAGCTGTGCAGCACATCTCTTGCCAGACTTTGTGCCTGAACAATTTTAGAGTGAAATACAACTATTTTTTACGTTTGATAAATGCTGAAGGGCAACAGGGTTTATAAACTGCAGCTGGGAAAACCCATATCAACATACGTTGATATGCGCATGCACAAAATGAAATTTGTGCATTCCAGCAGTAACCTCTTTGAGAAAGAGTCCAGACAATGTATTGGCCTGATGACACTCCTCATTTTAAAAACAAGACAACACAGTTACATCTCAGGGCAGACTGGGCAATATGGATGCACATATCTCAGTAAATAATAACCATCATGTATTCAGTAAAGTCATGGTATAAATTGTATTTTATATCTGAAAATGTATTAAAGGAATCCTGGGGGAGCCAGTTTGAAAGGCCCTGATGGAGCTGATAACATTAATATCTGGCAAGAAATGTTATCTATAATTTACTATGCCATTCTTCAGTTTGTCAGTAGAGTAGATGTGGATCATCAACAAGTACTAGGACAGCCACAGATGTTCAGCCAGCATCAGATACAAGCAGACCCTAATGCAACAGTTGCCCCGCAGCAGAATTTTGAATTTGATGTGACCATCTTGCATAACGACCTTGAAGTACTTTTTATTTTATTTGGTTTGAACCTCATTTGGTAACTTAATATAAAATAACTGTAAGAATAACTTTGCCTCGTATCTCTTGAAGTCATTTGGTGTCACACTCTGAAAGCATGTATGAGGTCAGTGGACCAACTGGATAACATGATAAGAGAGCCCGCCTCTTAAGTTGACAGCACCCTTCCTGGAGCACGGTTTAACTACAGACACTGCAGAGCTGCAATCATTCACACTATGACACTATAACAGCTTTAATTATCTGCAGCATCAGTAAGTACTGCCAACACATTTCTCTCTACTTTGTTGCTTCTACAATTAAGACTTATTTTCTTATGTATAATTTATTCAGAGGTGTTGTTTACCTTCCTATAACACGCACATCTCTTGTTGTCTCTGCTGTTTGTTTCAGGCTGGATCTCTGTCTCAGTTTCTGAGTCTCAGACTGTGGAGGTCCAGCCTGGTCAAGACGTCACACTGTTGTGCTCCAACATTTCCAAAAATGAAGGTGTAACATTCTGGTTCAGACTTGCCCAGAGAACCAACATCAGCTGTATCTCTGTTATGATCACACCTAAAAGCAATGCTACATTCT